GACAAGATGCTTCGAAACAGAGAACATACTATGAATGGTTGATATTCGTTGGGGTCATTCACTAATATCCACGTATAAGTGAAAATGTAGTCTTGATAGGATTCAACTTCAAGTATTTAAATCAATGTAAACAATTAATTACCTCGTGTATGCTTTTGTTAGTACTATTTGCACGTGTCTACCGTCTACTGACTTTGTGTGCACAGTTACAAAATTCATAATGCGTAAAATATTTTGACTTCAAAATGTCCGTGCTAGCAGTTCCCTAAACCAGGACATTGAGAATCTATGCGGATATATTTGCCTCTTTTCGTATAACTTATGTATCATTAACAGGGGGTTAACTCGTCCCAAGAAACCGCTAATTTTAGTGACAGCGACATCCATAAAATGGAGGGGTAAATATCTAGATAGAGCAGCTGTTGATATAGTTGTATTTAGGCTTCATGTAAGTTCATTTATTTTATCATGTATCCAAGAACGGAAGAAAATTTTTCTGTTTTGCAAGCTTTCGTTTTTTGCTGAAAAGCAAGATTTACAAAAATGTTGATTGGTCGCACAATGGCCACAGTTACTTCTTTCAAAATGGCTAGTAGGCTGCATTCTCTGCCTTGAGGAAAAAATGATTTGCCGTTGTCAAATAAAAAATATATCACTCTGCCTCTTATCGTGTTTACCAAAATCTGACAAAGTACCAGCAGTACACATGGAACTCAATGCATTTGCAAAAAACTACCTTAGCAATCCTTATATATAGGGTAATTTGGTAGTCATTCTTTTGAAAATGTAGATTGATCCTGCAAATAAAGCTGTCATGACATATTTTCCTAACTTTTCATTATCCAAAGAGTTTGGAGAAGTCCAATAAGTCTTTCATTTAGGCAAAACATTTACTCTTTACAATTTTATTTTTTTATGTAAACAAGTTGCCTTCTGTTTTGTTAAAAGCACGTAATAAAATATACTGAGCACCTATCTTTGAAGGCGGATACTAGGGCCGTTTTGAGGCATTCCGCTTTTTTAAATATTTTAACCATTCATATGCATCGCAGGCTAGCTTTAAATATAAGTGAGACAAACCCCCCCCTGCTAAAACTTGAACATTGTTTTTACTGGTTGAACGAATTGTGTTCGCCGACGGGAGTTTTAATGATTACTCACTGGGCTATAAAAGATTTTTGTTGCCTTTTTCCACCTATGCGGAAGGTGATTCTGCCTGCCAGCACTTCTAGTCCGCGCGCGAGATGTTGCACGATTATGAAAATAAAAATGTATGTGTCTAGCTCTGCCATCGTACATATTTGTCTTAATTGTCCGCCGCCTTGTCTAACTCTCTCTATATGCATCGGAGACGCCGAATACTGCACAGAAAACATTTAAACTTGCCGGGCAATGTAAGACTTCCAATAGGCTTCCTATTGATTTAACAAAACTGCCCGCAACCGTTGTAACTTTAAAGTCTACCAATTTAAATGCCAAGGATTTGATATGTGTTGTTGGACTTCTCTTAGAAAGATACACTATTACGAACCCCTAGATCGATATCTCCTTTAAGGTAAGCAGGAGAGGTCAATCCGTTCAAAGTGTGGTCTGCAGCATTTGGAGATTAAAAGTATTCAACTCGTAGCATAGCTATAAGGACCACGTAAAAGCGGTGAGTCAAAACTTCATTTAATTGAGTTCGTATGGTAAAAAAACATAAATGTGCAAAATAATTTTGTAGTAAAGAGGTTTAGTAACATGATTAACTCCAAAAAAGAAGTCTATTTTAACACGAAACGCATTATAAACTGAAGTTACGAAATGCGTTATAGATATACAATTTATATAAATAAATATAATTTTAATATATGTATGTATGTTTTTGTATGTCCTTTTTATCAAGGATGCTCATAAGCTACTTCGGACGTGCTAATATGTTAGATTTGAATGCGCATTTTCAGTTTCACCTGCGACAACAGCATTCAAGGAAGACGGACCAATTAATAATTACGTAATTGGCCTAACAATTTTCATTAACCTTATAATTTTAAACGGATTTTACAAATAAATTGGAAAACAATTTCGGAAACCCAGTTGATAGCAATGCACACTTATTTTCCATTTTTTACCAAAGGGTATGCATACGTTTCAAAAACATTTCAGTTTCCAATGATTTGAACGGCTATTAACAGCAAGGAATATTCAGTCAAAAAACTTCAGTCTTCCTGAATGAGGAACAGCATATATTCCTTGATAACATTAATACCCCATATCATTTTTAAAGGGTACGGATTGTATCGCGTCTCTCAGTAGAGCAATTAATAATTTAGCAAACAATGTCCACTAGATGATTTTAATAATACCACAATTCGATTACGTTTCCCAAAATTTCTTTGAGAAGTTTATTTGGTAAACTAATCGTGTGCTGTCAAATTTCTTCAACAAATAGGATTTTTACTCCCGTTTCATAAATAGTATTTAAGTTTGTGAGAACATGGACAAAAGGAGACAAAAAACGAACTGCTGAAGCCTTCAGTCTTTTTGTCTTGTGTTATACTTTATGATGCCACAAAGAAACATATACGAATGGCCATATCCTGGCGTATCCGAATAACTAATAGCATTATATTATATATTACTTACTCTTGCAACTCCATTTAGTTAATTTATCTTAACAGAAAAAACTATTTCAGAATTTAACTTCACGTTTCATAACATTACTAACTTACAGCACAGTTAAGGATGATATTCAGGTAGCAATATAATTTATTAAAGCACCTTTGACAGTCGTTGTCGACACTGAAAAAATAAAAGGGGAAAAGCGAACCAGTCTGTTGTTTGTCAGGTAACTGTGCATTGATAAAAAACACGAACATTTCTTGCTGCACTTTTGCTGAGCTTGGTAATGCGCACTTTGCTAACATAATCTTGCACGCATAATATTATAACTGAATCACTATAGAAAGTTACAAAGCAGTTATCTGATCATGGCAATTATGATTTAAAGAGAATGGTCCGCTTGCAATTTTACTTATCTTCGATTGCAGTGTTAAATGACAGGAATTTAAGAACATTTTCCGCAACGTGTTACTACAATTGAAGGTTTAACTGACTAACAAAAGGATTAAACAAGTCTCCCATTTTATTCTCTGTTTACTGGCAAACCCCAGTCTTTGAGGGGAGAGTATTTTTTATTTAATCTGAAATATTGTTATTTAGTTCAAAGCAATGCATAAGCATTGGGCTAAATAACGGTGTTGACAGTGAGATACACCTAGCTGAAAAGGAATGCCCCATTAAGAGTGCATGTGTTTGACGTAATATTTGGTTAATTTAGCCGTATTTTAATATAAAGGGAAAAACTGCTATTGCATTAAACAAATTCATCTTGCATACGTAAGTAACAAATTAAACAAAAGACATCAGTTTCGCCCACCACAAATGGTGCTTTTAATAGTTTTTTTCCACTCACTTACCGAATCAGCTCTAAAGTCTTGCAGACAAAGTTGCCTAGTGTAAGTGCTACGTGAAATATATTAAATTAACTTGTTCAAAGCAAAGTCTTTTTTTCAACAATTTTTTATTTCAAATTTAAGGACTGTCCGCAATGATTAATTTGGCATACATACATACATACATACATACAAAGCTCAAAATATTCTGGTTTTTATCAGTCAATGCAACCATTAGCGTTATAATAAGTTGACTGAGTTAATTTAAGCAGAACACTAAATGGAAGATTACTGTAGAAAGTGACACCATATTTCAATATTTAGTTCAGCTTTTGAAATCGTAGAAATTAATTTAGGTCAGCAAACCGACTATTTTTAAGGAGTGTTTTTTCATAATTATTCCATACTTAAAGCACGGTGGCGAGTTAATGGATTTTAGGAAGTTGTCTCAAAAGGAATTCTAGCACATAGATACCCAACCGAAAAAATTCTTTAAATCCCAAACAAAAACCAGTAGAATAATACGTGCAGCATACACACTCTGATATTTACAGGAAAACATTTTTAGGAAATAGGTCACATTTTCTAGTTTAAGATTAATCTTTGTGTTTTTAACTGCGTACCAACGAAATTATCTGTAACGACAGCTAACGTTAGTACAAATCTCATGATCAGAGAAGGGGATGGCTAGTAATTGAAATTGGTAGTGCTTAGTAATAGAACAAAGGTATTTTATTCTCCTTAGTGACAGTGATTTGTTTGTTGGATCAAGGCCAAGTCTGTGCTTGTTAAATGCACTGCAGGCGTCGCTTTCTGACATATGGAATCATCTAGGCAGCCTTACTGATAAAAGCATGATTCTGCAACGAGTCTGTGCAGATATTACGTTCAGAATCAGTAGTACGGCTGGGTGATCTTACGTCGAAAATATTTTCTGCAAATTTATATTTTCATTTTCCAAGTACTGGATACACTTTAATTACATACTTCATACTTTCTCTTTCATAAGCACAAGTGAGTGTGGATATTTATTTAAGTAATACCTATTCTCTGCATCCGAGCAAGACATTAGGAGCACTATTTTGGCCCACGTATGTTAATATTTGCGTACTACTAGTCAGTATCATTGAACTCGGAACACATCTAACAGTTTATTTGACCAGCCGCTTAAAAAAAGTATGGCATACATTTGCAAGAATTCCTCTATGGGATGCGAAGGCAGTTATCCTAATCCCCACAGATTATTCCGCTTATACTGCTTGCATCTAAAATTACGAAGTACGTACTAATTCAAGGAAAGAAAACAAATCCAAAATTGACTTACAACTGCGCGGCAGTATTTTGACGTCTGGTTGGCTGGTGCCCTTATGTTGACAGTCTCCTGATTGGACAATACACTTAGACACATTTTCAGTCGACCAATAGGAGTACTCGCATATACGGGGGACAAGCGTGACCCTGTGCGCGAGCTCTTTAAAACGGTGCCCTTCCCTGCCACGCGCATAGAGGTAGTTTTTTGTGGAATACAGTACTAATTTGCGGATTTTCATGATTAAGTGCTGAGCGATGAGCATGGATGCAGACAATATCTTCTTAAACACCACGTCATCTCTAGTCTCGGCACATTCTGTGCCGAATATCGAACTTTCCTGTGCTGTGTCTGACGCGGATGCAAAGGCGGACGTCAGCATGGACAGTGATTCTTGCATAACTAAAAGCAGCAGTGTCGAGCGACTTGTGCGTCTCACTAGACGGCTGACAGAATGCAAGCACGTCTTTGCCGCGCTAGAAAAGGAGGAACAAAAACTGCAGCAGCAGAAGAAGACTTCCAACTTGTTAGACCTACCGGATGAGGCGCAGGTGAATGTGAGCATGGTGGACAATAAATCGGGCGAGGAAGAGGAGGAGGAGTTGGATGCGGACGAGAGTGCGGACCACTATGTTTCAGGCGGGAGCTGCAAAGGTTCTCTGGAGATAAAACCCATATCCCCGCACCTGGTGCAGCGTTTTGCTGAGTCTAGTTCCAAAAAGCCGCAAGGCGGGCGGGCATCCAGTCTGGAGGTTCTACCTGTGCATGACCAGTCCGCACCAAAACAAAAATGGGCTCGACTGCTTGGTCTGACCACCTCAGACATCGGTGATGAAGCTGAATTTGTGGTAAGTGGATGCGTGTTTGAACGAAGTGTTTTATTTGAGATTTAGCGTGTTTAAATAAATCTAAATGGGATATTTGCAATTCCTGAGAAGTAAAAATTCTTCTTTTTGATTGCTTCATATTTAATCTCAGAGGCAGACAATAAGAGGGGGAATCTGAGTCGATATGTGCTTGCATTTGTATTCTGCGAGAAAAAGGAACATTTTCGACACAATACAGTCAAATGTTTTTGAAACCTTAATCTACATTTCGGACATTTTACATGACAATTCTTAGCTAAGCCTACCCCAAGACATTATTTTCTTACCCCGCAAAGTTTTTTTTATGCTATAATATAAAAAATGGCCATCATTTATTAACCGAGAATCAATTTTCCCTTATATTAGCATGATTGTATTCGCACATTAATCTAGATGAGAACGATTTGCAAAATTACATTAAAAAACGTGTGCCTTGACCAATTTTATGACCTGTACTCTCACAAGCATAATATGAGCGTCCGAGGACTCATCCGTATTTCATTCGTAGTTAGGAGTTCATATCGATTCACTGAATTGAAGACAGCTTAACTGAAGAGTTATTTTGATTGATGGAATTTTCATAAACTATTGTAAACGTAGCTTTTACGACTTTTCTTAAGAAGCTGCACATCAAGTCCACAATGACTTCATTATTTTGATATTATTGTAGCATTACTTTTCATTACCAACTCCAAGTGTTTGTTTTCGCAGAGATTTTTCTCTCTTAACTCAAAAAATCTGATTTTACATAATAATTTCCGAGATGGTTAGTTTTTCGCATACAAAGAACTCTGAGGTTTATAGGAAACGGAGTTTACCCTGCGCGACATTATTATGCACTCAAGATTTTGAAGTCAAAATAAACTCTACTCCAGTTAAATGGTAAAGTAAAAGCCAAAACCTTCGTATAGCCTTCATAAACTGAATGTATAACCGATACCTAGCGCATGTTTCAAGCCGGAAGCTATAAAACCAAAAATTGCATCACCTCTAAAGGACCACCCTTTGGGAGCATACGAAAATTGTGAAAGGTCAAAAGGATCGACGGTTGTGAAGAGGAACATACTCTTTGTCGGTGCAAACCGCTGACTAAAACAGATATATAAGATCACCGACGACCTGTCGAATGCAGCTGAATAGTTAGCGGTTCAGTATGTCTGAAGTATTCAATAAATCTAGAGTAAAACAATCAGACAGCCACCTGTTGGGCATGGCGATCACTGCACATCTGACGGAAATATTTTTCTTTTTATGATAGCAAGTTTATCAGTGAGGATGCATATTCGGTGAACTTATATGCTCGGTTGATTCTTCTTTGTCCTGAACAGTAATATAAATCAATTTGAATATATTGGTGAAAACTATAACAGGAATTGTAGTCTTGGGCAGAAGATTAAGAACCGACAGGAGGAAGGTAAGAAATTCTAATTAAAATCTATCAGGTGAGTGTGAGAAATGTCGAACTGTAAGTTTTGCGAACGCTTTTGCAATGTAGCATGATACGTGAACGCAAATATCGGCTTCAACTTGACCCAGTGGATGTTACGGCTTTGAATAAATGCCTTTACTGAAAACAACACCGGGTTTATAAACCACACACTGGCAGATGAATTTGGCGTATCTCGCTGGCACTTTAAAAATAATTAAAAATGCTTGGCTGGCTGACTACAACGAAGAGGACAGTAGTTGGACTAACAGTGGGCATTTGCATAGATTTATTTTGCTAAGTGAGTTCGTAATCTTGCACTCACTTGGATACACGTTTAGGTGTTCGATGAATATAGTGTTTTCCACTAGACTAAATGAAGCGGACACGCACACTGAAATAACCATCAAGATTACCTAAACCCTATTGGTTCAAATGCAAATGGCCAAAGCGAACTTGTTCTTGTTGGGTTTTACGGCGCTAGCATTCCCCAGTAAGCATTTGCATAAAATCGACACTAGGGTGGGTAGCTGTAGGTTAAAAATAGAAAAATATGATCCGCAATGATATTTGGCGGTAAAACGTTCACTGAAAATAGGAAAACAGCTTCTTTGGTAAGAGTAATATAGCTCACCAGTTGAAAAGTACAAGAAGACACGATCGCTTGTAATAGCCCACAAGTGATGGCGGAATCACCTAGATATCAGGGCTTCCTTAAACCACTAGTAATTACAGTGTTTTGCATCGACTCGTTGTGAAACGAACAGGTTTCAGTACTTTATGTTTAGGATTACAATCAAAATATTGCTTTTCCCAAAAGTATTGGTCATGTGGTAAGTTGTTCGGATGCGTATCCTTACCGATGATGTTCTGGATCATATCAAAGTCCAACTTAAATGTTTTACCGAAATATACCAGAAAATAGATGCCTGCAAAAGCTGCAGCTTTTTTAATACGAAACGTACTCTCGCGTTTGCGAGAGTATTTCGTAGATAATTTCCCACGTCTTTCCTGCATCTGAATAGACTGAAAACCATTCAGTTCTCAGCTAGCTCCTTCTACGAGCATCAAAACTCAAATTCCCTTGAATTTGAGATTGAGTTTTTATCTTCATATGACCATAGACGTCCTACTGTAAATTGAAATTTGCTACCACTTACCACTTTTTTTTAAAATTATTACGTCTACTGTGACCATAATTTAAATTCTAAATCATAAACTAGTTCAGAAGAGACCTTTGAGGTAAGGATGTCAATAACACAGTGGCGTTCTCTCTGACTTCCATGGGAATAATAACGTAGAGCTAAAATGTATGCATGGCCTAAGATAGAAATTTGCATCTTGGGATTTGTACTGTGCACTGTATAAATTGCACTGCCTAAACTAGAAGACTATTAGGCAGAATAGTAGTTACTTGCATGTTTTTTAACAGCTCTTCGCACTGGGAAGACTTCGGCGATTATTCGGTGAAAATGATCTCGCTAAGTTGCTGCAGATATGGGCAATTGCCGTGTGCGGTAGATAATGAGCAAAAACGTGAAAGAACGCCAATTCATAAACATCTGCATAAAAAATATTGCTTGGAAATATATTAAAAGAGAACGTCTTTTTAGGCACTGTCCGGATTAAGATAAATAAATTAGTACTGCTCAATATATCGCAGAATTCTCATATTATATACTGCATGCTATAAATGGTAATGGCTTAAGTATTCGCGGCAAGGCAACTGCTTAGGTATACTAGGAATTCAATACTTACTAATAAAGTGTAACGGCTGTTTGAGGTTCATTGACTGATCAACACTGATCAACACTGTGCTTTTTGAATTAGCCATAAACTTCACTTGGAGGATAGGTCTAAAAGACCGAAGCGTTTCCGTCACATGAATAAAATCCATAAATGCTCACAGTCTTTGGGAAGCAAAGGGGCCATTTCTAATAGCTTATGGGTACTTGTGAAAGTTGATACATTTTCTTTTCAACTAAGTTCATGGCAAACGCTCAATTCGCTGAATGCTGCGATGGTTAATGACACCTTCCAAATAATATCACTCAAAAAATTCAATTTTCGAAAAACGTGACTATTTAATATGAGCAAAATGTTTGAGCGAAAAACATTCTGATATCAAAATAAGCCAAAATTGTGAATTTTGTGATACAATAAGTTCTAGCTGTACGTGGATATTGACCGTATACTGTCATGGTTTTGCGGAAGCAACAATTTGTACCATTGTGCATTTCGCAACTGCTATAAATGCAGCCTTTTGGGCAAACCAAATGCTCGAAAAAAAAATTAACCGCTTGCAACTTCTTTCGATAGATGTCATTGGACCGCTTATAGGCTCAAACTGGACTTCTGCAGTTCCAGTGCTTTTGCCGACGTCCCGGTTCTTCGGTTGCGTTTTTCAGTACAACTTTCTGTGTAAGAGGTCTAGTTTATTGTGAACTCTTAGGCGCTATGATACATGGGAGTATGCTCTACCCGAAGTATCTAAGTGCTCACTTCAGTCACTTTGCCGCGTCATTCCCGCCCAAAACGTTCATTTCAGATCGCACGCTGGTTTTTCAGCCGGCAAACATTCTGCGCAGTAGACGGCCTTTTAATTGTTTTCTTGTGCTATATTCCGTCGTCCGACATTCAAGCAATAACTTATTTGCCTTCTCTTCAACTGCTGGCATGCGGCTGAGCAGTAATCAACCGCCCCAATCTAACGGCTAAACTAAGTTGATACCATCATCTCCGTCTACGCTATTTATGAGAGCATAGTTCAGTTCGGTTCGGTTCAACCTGGCGTGTTCCTTATCATCCCCTGAGCTACCGCTTCTTCCCTGAAGTTCCCTTAGTTTAGTTAATGAGTTCAACAAATTCCCAAATCCAGAAGCTAAATTTAGCATTGTTATCATAAGAAAAACATCATTCAACTTGTCTAGACCGTCAACAATAATCCTGGTGGCCGGACCACGATTGATGTCAGTGGGGGCTTTAAGCAAAGTGCTGAAATAAATTTTACAAATTTTTTTATTTATTATCAAATCATCTGCGGCTCTTATTGGCTTCGCCTTCAAGATAATATCCGGGGACAAATGCAGTCTCTGCATCTCTGCCAAGTTTGACATTTTCCACTGACATTAAAAGTTGTGATCTGGTTTGACACAGTTCTACGCTTCAGCGAGAGGCTTGTCGTGAAAAAAAAACGAGGACCGTGACAAGTAACCCAGACAATTGTTTGGGTCAAACATGTCTCCATTTTTAACATCATCGTGTGTGTAGACTCTTTCCTTTGAGTTGTTAAAGATATGTAATCTGGTACTGTATATTATAAGTAAAATTAGCCCTGATTATCGCTGTCCTAACGTTCCAGTTTTGGTCGATATATTCTCCCCAAACGCGTACATTTTTTCATTTTTTTATCGGAAAAGCACGCGTTTTGGATATGAGATGATATATATTTTATTTCCACAGAATCGTAATATAGAAACAACATTTCCTATTGTTTGAGCAGCTTTTTACCCTTGATATCAAATACGAGGCGGCCGCCGGAGGTATTTCATACCCCAACAAGCGCTCAAATTAATAATGTCGAAACGGAATAGTTTATTAG